ATATATTATATATATTATATATATATATATATATATATATATATATATATATATATATATATATATATATATATATATAACATATATTATGTATTGTAATTATAATATATGTATAAAATATATATTATTTATTATAATTATTAGTATTATTACTATTAGTTTCCCGCAAAAACGTGAAGAAAGTGTGACAACTTTGCCGAAACATGTTGTTTGAGCTTTCACGGTGTCCGTAGTTCCTCAGACAAGCGCGCCGAACAAGCGCGTGCTTTCTCAGTGCTCATCACGAGCACGCGCCTATTTTGCCGCGTGGGAGGGGCGGAGCGGCAAGAAGACGAAGGGGGAACCGTATCTGATGGGGAAACGCGGATTGACGTAACACCGGCATCCTGCATGTTCTAGTTTTCTGCCTGGTGGTAGCTTCCTCCTCAGCATTTCCTCCTCAGAAATGTAACTTCCTCCTCAGCATTTCTCCTACAACCAAAAATATCAACATGCAATGATCCAGCCTGCAGACAAGACTAAATATATCTGCATCCAATGTGTTGTTTGCAACCTGGGTACTTTGCGCATTTTCATGCGCATTTTTGCGCATTCCTTGAATTAGCACACCAACCTGCTAATTTCACTGTGAATGAGGTACAGAAAAGAATCACGACACTGAGACAGACGGCTCTCGACCAAGCTTCGAAAATGGTTCCGATACCACAGTAGTGTTCCTGAACGGGAAGATGTTCTTCGGACTGCCTTTCTTGAGTCAGATTAGCTAGCTCTAGAATTCCATCCGGAACCTTTGTGTCACACTCACAGAGCAGTGGGGTTAATTACCATAGCAACAGAGTACTGACCAGGCAGCACATTGCCAGTGTTCGTAGCAATGGAGACCTTAGCTTGGCACGAGTACGCCGCCTAGGGGCAAGCTGGCAGAAGACAGAAGGAGGTAAGCTCTGCATGACTCCTGACATTTGACCAGACTAAACTGACAACCACTTTAGGCTTTCCAAATAAAGGCTAGAGTAGATAGTTCCCACAAGCCCGAACCGGAAGTAAGTTACTCCAGAAATGCGCCAACTTGGTAGGCAAACGGTAAACAGCGCTACATAGCAGGAGCATTAACAAAACTTAATTTTTTTAAAGGTTTTTTCTGCGCTTCAGGAGAACTAATTCAGTGTCTAGCAAAAGCACATCTTATGAAAATAGTCAACTAGTCATTTGTGTTTACCGACGAAGCTTTAATCAGGGGAATGATGATGTGTGGTTGTATTTTAAGAACGTGAAGTTGATCCGTTTCCCGAAAGATTTTGCAGAAACGGCAAAAAACAAAGTCTCAATATCAAGACGAAGGCCTGTTAACTGGAATGTCTGTCTTCTCTATTACATGCTATGTGTGACGCATAATAATAAATCATTATTAGCAACAATACCAATTTTATTTACAAAGCCACAACTGAAACGAAGTGCTGAACATCAGAGATAAATAGTGGGACATAAAGAGAAAGCATAAAAATAACGCGATAAAGCTATAATAAATTAAATCAAATCAAATCAAATAAACATACAGTTTAAAATCATGTGATATAAATAAGCAGCAACTGAATGTAAGTTAGGCTTTTTTGTTCAAACATAGTAAAAAAAATTATCTGCACATCTACAATTTATGTTTATGTTTCATACTTTTTTGTAAATACCACAGTTGCAACCCAGCCTTATTCATCACCAGCAACCTCATCAAAACTCAACCCTTGCTTGGAGGAAATAAAGGTCTGGCTGGAGCACAACCTTCTCCAACTCATCAGCTCCAAAACTGAAGCCATCCTTGTGGGCTCTTCTCATCAGATCCAATCATAATCCATAACCAGCATCTTCTTCTCTGGTTCCAATATTCCTCTTTCATCTGCAGTCACAAATCTTAGTGTAAAACTGGATCCACAACTCACTTTTGAATCTCATGTCAACCACCTCTGCGAGACTCCCTTCTTTCACCATTTCCAAAACCCATCCCATTCTCTCCCCCTCAGGTGCCAAAAAAACTGGTCCACATCTTTGTCTCCTCCAGACTGGACACCCACTTCTCATTGGGTTTCTTAAAAAGATTCTGCAGAGGCTCCAGCACATCCAGCGCTTTGCAACTAGAATACTGATGAGAGTGTACAGACATGACCTCAAACCTCCACTGTCTCCACTGGCTTCCCGTTTCCACCACGATTGAATACAAGATTTCCCTCCTCACACACCAATTCATCTACAAAAATGTCCCCACCTATCTCAAAGAACTGCTTAACCCTCAAAGCACAGCTTGCTTGCACCACTCCACCCTCTGAAACCTTCTCCACGTCCCTAAAACCAAACTGAGGCCTTCTGTGCTACCAGTCCACATCTATGGAATGCCCTTCCTGACACTCTGAGGGTACCAGAGTCCACTGACTGTTTTAAGAACATTTCTTAAGACGTTTCTTTTTAGCCACATTCAAATTTCTTCAGAAATCTTCTGGTTTTATTTATGTCCTTACTCGCCCAACTTTTTGTCAGAGTCTTTCCATTACCCTCTTACTCAAGCAAACACAGAGTAAACATGCAAACTCCATGAAGAAAGACCCCCAGATCTTCTTGCTGCAGGGCAACTGTGCTAACTGCATGAATTGACAATGTCCAAAATCTTTGAATATTGTTTCTAAACCACATCTACCTTTAGCATGTACCTCTCTGAGAACAAATTACACAAAGTTTAACCGTATTTAGAAACTACTGTGCGTGACATCAGAAGGCAAAAGGTTGCACTGGATTTTATTTGGGCTTGCCAAATCAAACGGATCTGAATATAAGTTAATGATATACATTTTTTTAGATTTAGTTTTGTAAAAGGTTTTGAAAACCATATATCAGCTTCCTTCCACTGAGCGACTAGGCTCTCTCTGCTTCATGTTGTCTTATCATGTAAAATACCAATTAAATGCATTGAATTGTGTGGTGATGATATTAGGAATGTATGTGTCTTGACAATTTTTCCAAAGTGTGTGTGTCATCAGCCTACACTGCCGTCATGGGAACTGAAATTCAGCAACTATCTCACCGTACATCCGACCATTTCAAATATCTGGACCGGTAAGAATAACTAACACCAAAAGCTGATAATGTTCAGTTTCTCTCTTGTTTTTGAATGAGCCTCCTCTGGTTTTTCAGTCAAACTGCTCAGTGGCTCGAAAAAAAACCATCTGCGAAGTCAGAAGCCACCAACCCACCCCGTACGGTTTCTATTTTCGCCCCATTTTTTGGGTATGAAATTACAATTTCTTTGTGATAATACAGCATTGTTTTTGTTTTTCCCTGCTTCTAGTAGAGTTGGCCCCTACTTGGGCAGACTTGACCAGAACTCGAACTTTCTTCTCTAATATCCGGTAAATATAGCAGTTTGAAGAATGAAGCTGACTTCTTCTGATTTCTGTTTTTTTACCATGTAAATGCACTCAGATGTACAATCTATAACTTGTCTTAACCTTTCCTATCTCTCATTTTGAAAAATATGCAGTTGCTAAACATCTTTCATGTCATATTGTGCATATCAAAAAGTTACTATTAACAAATAAAGGAAAGTAAATCTGTATGTCTCATCTAGTCAGCCTCCCTTTCTTATCATTTTTGCCTCATACATTTTTATATTACTACGACTAGATTAAAGTGTTTCTTTCTTTCCTTTCTTTTAGGCTTACTCCCATATCGAAGATCAGCAAATGGGCTCTCCATGCCTTCCCATCTGAACGAGTATGTGAACTGGCTCAACCTCGGCCCTATGCAAGAGGGTGGCAGCCTGAACTCCCTCTACCAACACCTGTGAGTAGCAACGTGTACACAGCAAATTTGGAAGTGTTCCATCAACTCCTACAGAGTTAAATTCAACACTTTGAAAGTGTCTATATCGGTCCACTCTGGATGGTGTAGAAGTTACACTTTTGAAAGTGTTATTTGTGATAGAGTTGAATCAACACTCATACTAGTTGAAATCAAACACACTTCAGTGTTAATCTACCCAACACTAGTGTATATTATCAAAAGTTAACACTATGAAAGTGTTAATCTAACACAGAATGGTGTAAAGTATATATTAACATAGAAATCTGAGTTTTCAAATACTACTGGCAGGGTATGCTGTGGTGGTGCAGGGGTTAAGCACAACCCACATATGAAGACTTTAGTTTTCAATGTGGCTGTTGTGGGTTTGCTTCCCAGTCTTCCCCTTCTCTCATTACTCATCTTTTTGGTCAATTTACTACCAAATAAACGCCACTAGAGCAATTAAAACCTTTTTCCCCCCAGAAACTACTGGCCATCAATAATCCCCAAATTCATATTAAAAGACATTAGATGCCACTTGAATCTACAAAAACACCAGCACCAGTTGCAGTATGTAATCTACTGCAACTGGTACTTCAAAACATCAAACAGCACTGACAGCAATATACAACAAAGGTCATGCATTCACAGTACTTTGCACTGAAGGTGAAGTGTGCTTTGAAAGTTCATTGGAAGCGGCCAATGAACTTTCACTGATGGTGAAGTGTCTTTGGTGCTGCTCTTGTTTTCGCCAACATGAAGGAGGAAGACTTCCAGCCTGGAAGGGAAAACAGGAAACATAGCAGAAACATTAGGATAATAAATAAATATTTTAAAAAGAAGTGTGAACAAAACTAATCAGACTCACCTGTGTGTGTCTCCGTCATATTCATTCAAATTACTCTGCCCACCTGGTTAATGTAATATATGGTAAAGTGTGTAATATCCATCGAAACACCCATAACTGCAAAAAAGTATTTTTCTTCTAAGAAATTGACCATTTATTTAGCATTACATTATCCGCCGCAGTTGTTGCGTTTTAAATCTTCACCAATGATGTCCAATAACGATATTATTGGACAAATGTTTATGTTTTTGGCTATTGTAGTTATCGACTTAATAACATTTAAATTGTCTCAAATACAAATGTTATTCATAGGTTCTATGGTAGTGACTGTAATTATGTTACTTCACCCTGTTTTGTACTACACCCTGTATTTAGCTCCACCCATCCTCCCATCGTCTCTGACAAGCTTTACTGTCCCTCCTTAAGAGAATCGGGGGGAGAGTGAGGCGATAACATTTTACGATCCTACCAGATCTACTCTATCTGTGTTGTGTTTTCTGTAGGTGAGTAGAGCGTCACTGACGGCAGTGGCCTCCCCCCGAACTTGCAAGCTCGCCCAGCCAAAGAAGCGGTATTCTAAACCTGAACCTAGCCACTTATCTGAACCTCGACCTATGACCCATTTGACCTCAGCCCATCTAAGCCATCTAAGTATGCTAGCGAGTGAGTGTAAGTTCCTTTCCTGCAATGTTTTTTGATCAAAATGTTGCCTTTGCTCTGCCTGTTGCCTGATTGCATTTGTCTTTATAGTTCCAAAGGGAGAGCATCCGTTGTATCAGAGACAACGCTCAGCACGCTGGCCAGTTTCCGCCGCAGCCAGAAATTACTTTCCCTCCCAGAGAGTCCTTGAACTGTCCTGCCCCAGAATACGGAAAGATGTGTATGATGGATATAACCCATTTGTTGTTAGCCATGCAGCTCTCTGTGCTGACCCCTCTCCTCGGACATTACAGCTCTCTGTACCTCTGCCTCGAAAATGCACTCCAAAGGCATCACCCTACCACATGTAGAGAGGTGTTTGTTGTTCTTAGTATCATCACCAAACATCTCGCTGAGATCATCTCATTCCAAACAGCAGTAAATGTGGCAGCTCTGCCTATTGCCTCAGTTATTAATCTTTGTGTTTTTTGTGGGTTGAATCTGAGCGCATTGAGTCTGTTAACAATTTTACAGTTTGTTGTTTTAAAGTCAGTCATCACCGTATGTGAAGATGTTCAGTTACAGCTAAAATATTTTGAGTCTATAGGTTAAGTACTTTATATTATAAAACTTTATATTAAGTTTGTTACAAACAAGGTTTTGTTTTTTTTTTGACACAGCACAATAACTGCCATCACATCTGTTACAAACAACGTCATTATTGCTATGGAAAAAAAAAAGATTAACTGTGCTTTTTGTACATATATCCAAATCCTTTGATCTTGTACATCTTGATTTTTTTTACATTTTTTTATAAAGTCTGTTTGGGTGTTTCTCAAAGGTTCATATTGGGACCATGTCTTTTTTTCCATTTAAATAAATAAATAGGTAGGATAGATGCAACTATGGTTCATGGATGATGCAGTTATTTACCTATTGCGTCATCATGCTATTTTAATCCATGTTTTACCTTTTTCAAAATATTTTAGTGCAGTTAAAATTGGTACTTCCTGAAAAAAAAAACTAAGCTTAATTAATATGCAAATAATTTGATTTTATTGCATTTTAAATATATCAGATTCTCAAACAATGTTTAAAAACAGATGAGAATAAACTGATTAATAGGAAAAAAAATGTCAAGTTACGATTTCATTTACCAGGTGAAAAAGATATGCAAGCCGGACTGGCCTCATGTGGAAAACTGATGACCTTAATAACTGGTTGCCTAGTATAGAAGTATACCTCTATACTACAAATGCTCTATACTATAATATACTATATATGCTGATCTATAGATCAGACTCTCTATTTACAGAGCCTATTAGTCTTTGATGAAGTGGTCCTGGGACCTTTGCTGCATGTCTTCCCTTCTTCTCTCCTGTCTGATCTCCTGCAAATAAAAGTACAAGAAGAACCGTTTAAAAGGAAATCTTTTTAATCCCAAGTTACCTACCAGTCTGCATGTAGCTGTATGAATGTATGCACATTTGCGACTGAGCAAATGTGACTCTACTGTAAAGCTCCTTTGCGAGGTCAGTATAGTTATAAAAACACCATGTAAATTGAGTCCATCTAACATTTTCTGTCAGGTGTAACTTTGAGGATTGGTCCCATAGTTGTCTCTTTTTCATTGGTGAATAATAAACATTGAACTGAGACCTGCAGTGCATGAAACTCACTGGAAGTTAACAATTATGTTTCTGTTGAAGTATTCCTAGTTTTTTGCAAACTCTCCTCTGCAGGAGCTGACACACCTACGTGTGTTCCTGATGTTGATTTTATGAGCCAGGAGTGTCACCAAGTGGGCTGTTAAGGATGTGACATCCTGCTTCAACACTGGAATCTCATTAGAGCAGAAAATAAAGCATGCAGTTAGGGAAAATACTTCAAACCACGACTCGGATACATCCTGAAAGCGCCTGGGGCCCATTCTTCATTTATGATTAACTTGGGATAACAACGGAGACTGCTTTAGCGAAAAGTGTGGATCTTTATTGCACTATTGAGGGGAGCTGATAATGCAGAAGAACAAATTCTTTATTAATATTAGAAAAGTTTTGACGATCTCTGGTTTTCGCCCTTCCCAAATGCAGAAAATATGCGCTCTTCATCAATTAGATCAGAGTTTATTGAACCTATATTTTTAAGGACCTGAACAAGAAAGCCAATCGGGACTCACTGAGGACGTCACGAACAACCACCCCCCTCCTACTTTCACGCCCCGCTCTTTTCTGGGAGTATTGACACGCAGCGGGGCGGTGCAGATGTGTTGTCAGGAACCGCACATGTTGCACAATCACTGCCAAACAGACCACTGACATGCCGGATAAACCTTTTTCTGGTAAGTGAGCCTTTGATAGCCAACTTCTACCTGCTTTATTTCGCTTTGTGGGACACATGACAGAAAGCAGAGAGAGTGGGTCACGAAGCGATTTAAATTAACGCAACAGACAGCGTGTGAAGTTGTCAAATACATTAATAGCGACAAATTGTAAATAGAAATTTGACCTCTAATACACCGAGAGTGGATGTCGTCTGATGTTAATTGAAGGAATATTTAACTCGATATTTAACTGGTAATATTTAACTTGAGAGTGAAGGAATGATATCAAGTAAACTGTGAAACAATTGGGAGAAAAATATTTGCTGTTTCCAGGAATAATCTTGCAGGGCAGGGGTATTACTATAGTGTTGCGTCGACTTTAAGAGGTGGCATTTTTATTGTTCCCTCTTTTAACACCGCTCAACTGAATGCTGGTAAAAAAAAAAAAAATCCTATTTTCCAGTGACATTGTGCATCCAGAATTACACATATTCCAGAACATGTAACTGAAATATTTATATTTACTGTTGTTTAGAAATGTTCCCTCGATAAGGGGGAGGGCGGCACGAATCCGACCCAGAGGGGGAAACAAAACAGGAAATATGGGACACAAAAGAGAACAAATACGTATTCTGGATTAAGGGATTATATAGGTTGCTCCAGTCAGACTCGTGGTTGCTAAAACACTTTAGAAGGCTGACTGATTTTAGTGGTGTAGTAGGTGTAAAATATTGAATAAAAAGTTGTGCCTTCATGACTGGCTTCATTTTCACTCTTTTAACTTTATGACACGGGAATTTAAAAGTGGATCGCCGCTATTGTCTCGAAGTGTATTTTGGGTAAAACTCGTCCACCAAAGTCACCATTGGTCACTTGGCAACAGATTGCTAACTAGCCGGAGCATTTTTACGGACTAAGTTAGCATGAGTGGCTCTTCATATAAGCATAAAAGTGGAGCGACAAAGTGAAAAACAGAAGAAAAAAAAGAGGGCAAGAAGAAGCTAAATAACAAAAACTGGACACATAGGCCTATTTTGTTCGTCGTCTTGGAGATGACCCCGACTGCCCGCCAAAACTGGCAGCGCAGCCAGGAAGCCATGTTAATCACAGGTAGCAGCTTTAACAATCACTGTTCAAAATGTGTGAGTTAGTTGTAGACTGTCGGTGATTGTAAATTGTTGTTCTCTTGTTTTGGATGGACCTCAAAATGACATAGTTGCTCTCTGTGGTGCCAGACCTTTTAACCCCCTCTGTTGGGGGCATGTTGTAAAATGATGTTATCATGAGCTTTATTATTTGGGTGTAAATGGTCCGGGCCTCCCCCTCCTCCCAGGCATGAACAATTTTACCCTCCCCCAGTTTGCCATTCTTTCCTGGAGTGAATCATTCGGTGCTATTCTGATTGAAGCAACACCAACTCATTTGGTTCTATGCATTTACACCCTGGTGAGATTTGAGATCAGGTAACTGGAAAATGTCAAATGGTTTTGTGATAGGGAAATTAATGACAATCCTACGAGAAAGGGCTGAGAGGTGGAGTGCTTTCTGTCTTGACTGGAACTATGGTCCTGAAACAAAACGTGTGGGGTTTCTGATAAACTATGACAAATTATGCAAAATTCTTTTCCCCTCTTGTACGCTTTATCTTTTAACTTGTGGCTTGTTGTAGCAGAGGACTTATTTATCAGATGATGATTTGAATTTGTTATATTTACATATATTGCAATGGTCCACTATAAAATTGATAACAATGTAACATTTGTTGAAACTTCACTGTAAAATCCAACAGCACATCTTATTAAATTTAATTGGTTGTCAATTTAAATACGAGGGCAACCTACAGAAAATATTGTGATTATGGTGGAAACACTGGAAATCCTTGCCAAAGCTTAGTCGACTGAAGGTCCTCTAATAGATGTACTTTAAAAAAAAAATTGTTACAACAGTTCAGTTGTACCTTCATGAATGCAACAAAGGCAATACTCTTCAATCATGTGAAACATACATTGTTAGGCATATTGTCACACATCTGATTCCTGCACACCAGGTAATTTCCTATCGGATTTAAACTTATTGGTTTAATAGAAGAAGATTACTCTAAATCTACCAGGACTTAAGGATATGCCCTTTAGTTGATTGAGTAAACAAAAATATCAGCGTTTAAAGTGCTTTGTGTCTTCATTATTCTCATGTTTAATCAGTTTATTATCACATTTATTCACTCTAACCAGAACTGGTCAGTCTTTCAACTCTTTCACTTTATTATGTTGTGTTGACAAGTCTTCAATTGCAGATCTATCAAAAGAGTCCATTATACTACACACAAGAAACATCTGAGCCACCATAAAACTTAAAGAAACACACACTCTGCATGTTCACACTAATCTGATAAAGTTGCCAGATTGTGAAATCAGTTTGTTTCTATTTTAATAAGTGGCATGATGTCATTGCTGGTGGTATAGTTTTATGTCAACTAACCTACAGATTCAAAGACATGTCTGCAAGGTAACTTGTTGTGCAACTAATTTTAAAAAATCCACAACCTTTTCACTTTCATCCTAACTAAAGGATGGCTCTTCTCAGCAGTGTGAGCAGATGAGTGTTTATGCCAAATTGCTGCCAACACAATGGGGCAAACCGAATGAGACGGCATGTGGGTGTTCATGGAGCGAAGTTTAGCCACGGTTTGGGCCTTCCTGCTGGGAGCCGGACTCACTCTGGGTAACAATCTCTTCTTTTCTTGTCCAAAACATTCTGGGAGCATGTGACTTTCTGTTCATATTTGCCCTATTAATGATCTGGGATTGTTTTCTTTTCCACAGATCAAGTTAAGAAAAACAATTGCAATGTACAACAAAGTCTTTCACTGCTTTGACAATGTAGAGTGCTGTTCTCTTTACCAAGCTTGTAATAACTTGTTATATATCTTTATCTCCATGATTTAGTATATAGAAAACTTAAAAATGTGCTTTAAATTTGCTGATCCGATCACTAGCTGTGCTGAAAAGTCAATCAACAAGTCTTAAATTTGTCAGGATAAGAGTTAGTAGAAACACACAGACTTGCTGAGCTTCAATTTAAAGCCAATGAAAGGAAATGTGTATTTAACACAAATTTAAATTGATCAACTGTTTGATTGATTTTCAAAGGTAGGAAGAGTCCGAGCCGAGGGGTCATTATAGAAAAGGTGCAAGCTGCTACATCTTGTATAGCCTGCGGGTGCGTTAGCGACTCCTTACCAAGTCAAGGAGTTTAAATAAAGGCACGGATTTCTGTCTTTAACTGGAATGTAGGCCTTGTTTCTACAGCGTTTGTCTAATCTGTCACATTTAGAAGCATTTTCAAAAACATCGTCAAGGGTCATTGCAGATGGGTGACAGTCTAAAGACACTGTCATGGCATTGAATCTGTGCTACGTTGGCATTCATGTGAATTATGCCGGCGTCGCCTGTAGTTGTGTGCAAGGGATTGGCTGTCAAATCAAAGTAAGCGTCTTGACAGACCTTCAGGTAAAACCTTGAGGTAAAACTGCATAAAATTATTCATCTCTGCACAACCCCCTTCCCGTTTTTTAAACACCACGGTTAAAAATGTATATATAAAAAAACCAAACTTTTTTTTTTAATTGAGAAATTGACTGCAGCTTTGATTTTTTTTTTCTTCATTTTTTTCTGTCCTCCTCCCTGTGACAGGATAGGCTCATCTGAATCATTAAACTTTTTGTAAGGTTTTTAAAATCATTTTTCTCTGACTGTAGAAACTGCATTCCACAGTTAGCAGAGTAACTATTTTATGTATGAACAACAACATCCGCCGTACTATTATGTCAGGCTCTCTTGTCTTTCCAATTTAGAGGAGCAGATAGTAGAAAGGTACGTCTGCATCAAATATTGTAACTTAGGGATACAAGAAATAATGGATTACTAATTAGAAGTTTGTAGAAACTGATCAATTTATTTTATGGGAAATTTGAGAGGTTCTAGGAAGTACAGCAGTGGTAAATTAAACTATATTGATAGTAATTATTCTTTCTTAATGTGGTATTTTTTACCTCAACAGAATAATTTTGGTCAAATTAGAGGTTATGCTGCTTTTTTCTCTAAACTTTCAAGATAACAATATGCTGCTGAAAGAAAACATTTTAGTTATTAGCTAGTAGTATTTTTTATTTTTTTTGAACATCACAAATCTTTTTGTGATGGCTTTACTCTGTGATGTTGTTGACTCCAGCTGTTCACAAACTTTAATCCTGCAGCCTTCTCTGTTGCAACAACCAAGAACGTCCCTCAATCGCTGCAGCTCCTCGGCTGTGTGTTCATACCTCGAAGTAACGTCACCTGCCACTGGACGCCTGGAGACAATCAGGCAACGTACTATACCCTTAAAGCTGAAAAAATGCTAAGGTGAGACTGAGTGCTGATCTCCAGAAAGACATTGCATGTTAGAGTAATCGGTTAACTCTGTTTGGCACGATGTTGTCATTAGGCTACAAACACAACTTTGGCCTGTTGCATCTTCACAGTTTATCTCTTTAAATGATCCAAACCATTTTTATAAAGAAAAAAAAACACACAAAGGAATTAATGGCACTGCTTTAAATCTTGTGATTTAAAAAAAAATATATATATTTTGATTATGTTTGTTTTGGCTATTTTAAGACGTACAAATGCTAGATATGTTTTTGTCTGTAACGGAAACTATAGAGGCCTTAGCGCTGTGGGTTCTGGTTGTTTAAGTACAATTATGGGATTTACAATTTTTTCCTGAGAAGCAAATGTAACACTTATTTAAATATAAAACACTTACATTTTTAAGGAGACTGTAAATCCCATTGATCTGCATGTGTTTTAAATTTATTTAACAGTAAATGTTTGTATCTAGTGAACTACTCCCAAGTTAGAAGTTATTGGCTCTGGCAATTACAATTTCTTCAAAAATCGTTCATAAAAAGTGAGTTATATATATCCAGTCCTGAATACTCCTCTCATCAGTTTGCATTTTGGGGTGGATAACACCTGCGATGTGTGGGCCGTCAATCATTTCGTAAAAATGATTTGAAAGAGAGATTAGTCCTAAATAGCATAAATATTCAACTAAAAAAAAAAAAAACAGCTTTGAGGTTTTTATGCTGAGGAACATGTTTTACTGAGACAGGAAGGATGCAGACTCTGATATTGTTGATGTTGTCTTTGATTAAGGAAAGCCTTGTCACGTACTTCCTCTGAGCCGGGTGTTAGTGTGGTTTTCAGGTGAATATAGACGTTTCTATTAATTACTATAAAAAGCTGTCAATCTGTACTATCAAAAATGATGTAAAATCAGGTGATAAGCAGCAGCTACCTTTTCATTCTCTGTGGATCAAGCATCTGTTGCACATGCTGGACATTTTCTAAGAGTGTCTAAGTCAATGGTTTGTTGGGATTGACTTTGTAGATTCCTTCCTGTCTAGTTGTATTTTACAATCTTGTTGCTGTTTGTATCTTGGCATGGCTTGTTGTCACACTACATTTTGCATCATCTTTATCTCTCAAACTGATATCAATCTTTGACCACATTGTTTGAATTTCCTTCTTTTTTCTTTTCCTGTTTTCTTTGAGAGTAATTTTAACAGCTCTTGCATGTATGAACCAATGAAAGTTGCAGTTTATTGTAGTATTTAGTGTTGTAGCTGCCTACTTTTACCTGTTTGCCTGTTTTTCAGATATATTTTGCTATAAAAATCTGAGAACCAAAGCAGCCTCCTCAAAAACATCAGTGTGCAACAATGAAATACACCAATGTGTATTTTAATCTCAGCATAAATAGAGCTGCTCTGTGCATCATGGAGACCGAGAAACAGAGAAGACAGATGAGGGAGAAAGCCGTTGAGAGGTTTATAGCTGAATTATGTTTGAATAAAATATGTTGAGCTTTGAAAATCTCTCAGAAAGACCATTCATCAGCAAATCAATCAAGATTAAAGTTTCATACTGAAATATATTTGTGGTCCAAAGCCTACATCTCCCTGAACCCACCAGGGACGACTGGGCACGTTACATTTTTCAGATTTTTACCGGTGAAAAATTTCAAATTGTTTTATTTTTTACTTTGCGGTTTGTCTTCATCTATAACACAAAGTCACAATAAAACACATTAACATTTAAGGGGAGTCCATGCTTTTCTCTTTTAAAGCCACCGTGTCCATGTGTCATCTTTAAGATCAAAAAACTTGACATTCAGCTGTACCACAACCGGGTTGAGCTGCACCGCAGGAATCAACGGATCCGGACTGAGGTTCACGTTTTGCATCAGCGTCATATCGCACAGCATAAGTGGAAATGTTTCATCTAAAATTCGGTGCCAGTCTGCAAGAATAGAAGGTGAGGCTGTGGTGGTCTTTCTTCCCCCACTTGTAGCACCACCATTCATCCCTGTGCTGTCGTCTGCTGACCTTGCCTCTTCTTATTTGTCTTAGGAAAACTGGCTCCAGTGAGTTTGAACAGCGTCCGACAAGTTGACGGTTCCCCTCACTGCCTGAGTGTGTCCTGGACAAGTAATGTGACTCATTTCCCCCTGGCTCCTTTTGAAATTGAACGTGGAGAGCTGAATTCCCAAATAAAGTTTACAGCAGAGGGAGAGGTGAGCTGTACCGAATTTGAAATCAAAAACATTTGTTCATATAGCAACATCAGGGTCTAAATGTTAAACAGATTTTCAGTTCTGTCAGGAGGAATGGGTCGTACAAGACATCTGACCAAAGTCATACTCTTTTAAAGCGGATTCTAACTGACCTAAGGGAGTAAAATATGTCTTATTTAAAGGCAAACAGTGAGCGAAAAATGTTAAGTGTTTTAATATAAAACATTTTTATTGGGAAAACTAAACCGCCCAGAATTGATAAAAAAAAAGAAAAAAACAAGAGTCCAGATAATGTCTTGTTTAACATAAGTTCATTTGTGCCGTTCTGTTTCTTTCGTCCATGCAGGTAAATGCTCAGGTCAGGAATGTGAGTGTAACTGGATATACTTTCCAGGTGTGCCTCTTCAAGCCATACACCTCGTATACGCTCGAGATTCGAAACCGTTACCTGGGCGAGGCCAGCCCCTGGAGCGAGTGGAGCAACCCATTTCAGGGAAGGACAGCAGAGGCTGGTGAGATGAAACAACATTATTTTAATAATAAAACTACTATAAGCTTATAGAATTTACTATTATCACAGCAGGATTGGAAGCTAGAAAAGAATATATGTCATTTTTACTTAAGACACAAAATACCCTGTTGTTTGAAAATTTCACTGCTGCTCTTCATTTATTGCCACATTAAGTTTTAATTTAGGCAAACCAAACAGCATGTTTCCACAGACACCACATACCAGCAAGCTGATGCTTGTCAGTTCAAAATACCTCTGCAGAAACAAATGTCCTTAATCCTAAATTATATGAAACAGTGTTAATGAGACTTGGTCAAAATTCTTCAATAAAGACTTGTCAGATTTTCCTACTGTAGCCGGTGAAGTGCGCGGCGCGGCGCAGTGAGGTGGAGACGCCTGCAGTAAATCCACAGTGATAGAGAAGCTATTACGTTCTTTAAAGGCCTGCTAGCAGTAATATATTCTTCTAATTGGAAACTATCATCACTGAGCTGCACCATTAACACATCCTTTTAGCACCCAACTGTGGAGTCGTTCTGCCGACTCTGGCCAGCTTCCTTTCCTCGTGGTTGCAGATGGTAATGTTAAATCTTTGGTTCATGCTTGTCAGTATGAATTAACATTTATTGCACCAGTCAAAAAATGTGTCTGTTCAGAGCCTTGACAACAGGCTTGGAGATAAATTTACTCATCAACTGTCTTTTGACACTTTGACTCAACATGTCTGACTTGTTAGATGACAGCAGTGCACTTATTTTCAGTTGGATTTTGGTTTCGACTTTAACTAGGCCATTTTAATACATTATGACTTAACTTGACCTTCTCATTAAAGCCCTGGCTGTAAGCTTAGGGTGGGTGTCCTACTGGAAGATTTACCTCTGCATCAGCCTCAAGATGTTTGCAGTGTTTATCAGTCTTCTTTTTCAGGTTTGCTCTTGCGTTTTGCTCCGTTTAGCTTCAATTGATTCTCCTCCCTAAACTAAACCAACACCCCAGTTTTCCCATTATAGTCCAGATATGTAGCTCATAATTTCATAGCTCACATACTTTTTCCTCTGCCAGGAAGTATTCCCATAAGAAGATGTTAGATTTTCCTTTAATGATCCATGTACAAAGAGAAACACAGTCATATAGGAAAGATATGAGGGAGAGAGTGATTTTAAAACTGTCTTTCCAGGCATGTCAGGATTTGTTGTCATTTGACTTCTTTTCTCACAGTTGAGAGTAAGCAAGGTGAGTCAGAACAGAGGTGTCGTCACATTAAAAGACCGTGTTTTCATTGGGTTCGAGACTTGTTTAAATCAAGTAAAACAAAGAACTGGTCAATGTGAAATACCAACGTTGTGCTCTTGCCTCAAATTAAAGTATCGACATGCTTTCATGTGGCTCCTTGTAATTACTTTGGTAATTTCCATGCTTCTCGTCTTTAGCCCCGTCTGCAGCACCAGCTCTCTGGAGGGAGGTGGGACCTATCGGCAGGAACGGACGGAGGCTCATTTCTCTGCTTTGGAAGGTGCGTGTTTGTTTGTGTGTGTATTGTTTGTGTGTGTATTGTTTGTGTGTGTGTGCGTGCGTGTGTGTGTGTAAATCTCAGCGTTTGACTCATGATTTCTAATGCCAGCTTGTCTCCCGCACATCCGTTTGAGCTTTAGAGTTTCACAGTTTAATAATCTTTGGATGTGATTAGTTTTCTTAATCACCATCTTTCGCAGCTGATTTGTTTTTGTATCTCCCTGAAATTACTTTTGCCTTTCTTTATTGGATTTTTCAGAGCTATTCTGAGATTATTATGAAAAGTCTTCCGCAGCTTCCTTTTTGTTGGCTTGCATTGCATGATCATAATGTCTGTCATGTCAGAGCAGCTTAATTAGAAGTTTCCTTTGCCTCTTTCCTTGTTTGTGTGATATTTAGCCGCTGCCTCGCTTCATGGCCAACGGCAGAGTTACCTTCTACAATGTGACTTGTCGGGCAGAGAATGGTCTGACTCTTAGCGATTACGGGAGCTGTGGAAAACTGCAGCCTGAAACCACGTCCTGCAGCTTGCCTCTTCCTGCTGGACGTTGCTCATGTAGCCTGACGGCATCCACCTCTGCAGGGACATCACCCAAAGCCTTGGTCTGGATCTCAGGCTCCTCTGAAAAAGGTAGAGCTACAGCCAGACACGTCACCCTGCAATAGCAGAACACCCTGAACTTTTCTGCGTTTGGTTGCCTTAAAGCCACAAGCTTCAATTTCTTTTACTGGGATGAGAACAAACTAAAAGAGCTTTAATCAGAGATGCTACCAGGAAGCGTATGGTAACTTTGATTCAGGTGGATACGTTTCTTCATGTTAAGACAAAGTCTTTCTGAAGAAACTAAATGTAGACCAATTTAAGAAGAAAACCTGTAAGAGGCTTTTGTAAGACTTTAGACTGGAAACAAATGCATTTTTATTACAGAAACGTTTCTTACAATACCCAATTATATTCTCAACAGTGGAGGTTGGTGTTGTTTCAAGACAAAACATGAAAAAGTTCAGCATATAAAAATTCTTTCTGCATCATTCATGGCGCTGGCAGTTGAGGCTTTTGGTTTCCTAACTCCGTTGCCTCAGGCCAGATGGAAGACAAAGTAGAGACTCCCTGAGCCATTGTGCACACTTGTCATGAACATCGAGATGACTTATGAAATATGTCAGTACAACAATAATATGCACCGATCTGCAAGGTTAGCTGAATCAGACGTCAACGACTGACAGCGTGAATCACTGCTGTGCCGTTTTTGTCGCCATCGCCTTTGTTTTCTCTGTGCCTCCAGAGCCGCCGCCTCCGGCCGAGCTCACGGCCACGCCGCTGGGTGACGACAGCGTGAAGATTCGCTGGAGGCCTCCGCCAGATCTGTCAGTGAGCGGCTTCGTGGTGGAGTGGGTTGCAGTCAGAGAGGAAACCAGCAGCGTTCTGCACTGGGAAAAGCTGAATAGTTCCTCTACGAAGCTGATCATCACAGGTAGCCCAGCTGGATCTCCTCTTTTGCAGTGGGAAACCGTCATGGCTAGATGTTTGTGTCATGACAGACATTTTTTTAATATATCTTTTTAGAGGGAGTGAAGACAATGGAACGTAACGCCATCTCCGTCAAGGCTCTGTATGGCGAACAAGGAGCAGGAGGAAATATAACGCTCCATGTTTATACGCAGGAAGGAAGTATGTGATCGACACAGCATGTAATGAGATAAAATTAAAATGTCTTTTACATCTGAGGAAAAATTGGGACGCCACTTAGGATTTAGCCTTTCCCTCATTAGCTGAAAAGACTGAAAGGAGACACTTCTTGTAGCAACATGTTGGTGTTTGATGTTGAACATTTTCCCGACTCCTCACTCTCAGTGATAGTTTTGAGTTATTGTCATGTTGGAGGCTCAAATTCTGCTTTAGCTGTCAAACATATGATCTTACACGTTTTCCTTCAATACACAGAACAACTCGTGGTTCTGTAATGGTGAGCGGGTGTGACGGAGGAGCCGTCACGAGTCGGGACTTAATTATGAGTCCGTGTCAACATGCGAGCGTTCCCTCACAAACATACACAATCGCTAACTTACTTCTGTTGCAGCTTAAACTGACGCGGTTCATCGTGGGTGCACACGCGGTGTTCCTGCTTCAGTTGGCATATCCATCCTAACCTGTTTTCACTTCCAAACATTTTCCCAGTTTTGTTTTCAAGCAGGGTTATCGGAACATACTGAGTGTTTTCTATTAAATTGAGTATTGTATTTTTGATTACAAGTTTATTTATTTATTTTTCTCATTATTATTATTATTATTATTATTATTATTATTATTTTGTATACTGTAAGAGTTTACTTAAGTTAGAAGTAATTGTTTTGTTGTTTTGCTTGTTTTTGTTGTGGGCGGAGCCTGTGGCTTTAAAAGCAGGGCTCTGTGCCACAGGGTGTCAGTCTGTGCCACAGGGTGTCAGTCTGTGGCTAGACTCCTGAGAAGTCATGTGGAAAGTGATGGACTCTTGCATTGAAGGTACTGCTGTTTGTCTGATTTTAACCTGCCTTGGATGTCCTTGTATCTGCACCTGCCATCTTTGTTCACTTGAAGAAGAGCTAAATAAATTTCACTAAAGTGATCTCTGGCCTTGGGCAGTCATTTTTTGTTTGTCCAAGTCATAAGAGAACCCTGTCACAGCGGGTCATGACTTATTAAGAAAGTAAAAGTGAGGTTTTGGCTTCCTTTGGAAAACCTGTGCTTAGTTACTGGGCAACTAGTCTGCAGAATTGTTATGGGCAAACATTTTCACCTCACTTGTTTGTTTTTATAAAGTTACTAGTGAAATCATTTAAAATCTTAACATTAATCTCTACAATTTTGAACGAGAATGATCAGCTGCAGTCCAAGCTTAAAAAAAAACAAAAAACAAAAAAAAAGACTCCAAAATAATCTTTTAAGTTTTTCACTGAGTCTCCGATCAGTCCTCACCTGCAGCAAACTTAACAATACCTAATTTACCAGGTGATATTTTCAGATTTCCTGTAAACGTGAAACTTTATGAAGTCAAAAACACAGTAGGCCATTAGATGACTGCTCTAGCACCCCCTACCACCAAGTTTTCTGGGGGGAAACCCTGAATTCATCATAAGAAACTTAGTAGTTGAGTTCATTTTTACTCATTGTCTCCTTCACTCCTCCTACTGCCTGACTGACAGTGACAGAGCTACATTTTGCAAAACTTACATTTTAAATGTATCCAGAACCAGTCAGGTGTTTTTAAAGAAAAAAGGTCTTTTTTATTTTACACTAAGCTGTAACATTTCTCCTCCCGTTCTGCATCTGCAGCGCCCTCAGCTGGTCCCGATGTGCGGGTGGAGCACATTTCTGAAACCTCGGTGGAGCTCAGCTGGAGTCCCGTACCTGTGGAGCAGCTTCATGGCTTCATTAGGAGCTACGCCCTCGTTTGCACCACCCGAAACCAGCTGGCAAGGAGTGAGCACAGAGTCACACACAGAGCTTTCATTCCCTCGGATATACAGACTGCTGCTGAATTTTCCTTTGGTCTAGTAACAATGCTGACATATTTGTTGTGTTTCTTAATTTACTTTTTATTTCGTAATGCTACCTCGATAGTGACTGTGAAAGAAACCACAAAGAAATTTGATGTGATAGACCAACACAAAGTTTCTATGTCCTTCTGTTTCTGGATGTAGAAAGAGAAGCAAAATTATATCTGGTTCTGATTTTTAGTTAGTTTAGTTTATCGGTTTATTTAGTTGGTTCATTTATTTATTTATTTAGTTACTTAGTTTGTTTGTTTAGTCATTTATTTATGTAGATCCTGTGCAGTTTACTCTACCTCCTTTGCACATCTAGTGTGTCTTTATCTAAACCAGAACTGCAACTAATGATTAGTTTAGTAATCAATTATTCTGGTGATTAATCAATTAATTGGATAAAAAGATTTTAGCTATTTAAGCTTTTTTTTTAAACATTAAAAATCCATTATATAACATTGAGATTAAATCACGCTATCAACAGTACTGGAGTCTTTATTAATCAAGTTACAGGATTTTACTTTGGTGTTTCAGAGTGATAGGAGCTGAATACAAGTGCAAGCCACACTTTTCAGATAATTTTATTTATCAGTCCAGTCAAGTTTATTTATATATTGCATATCAGCAACAAGGCATGATACCTGTTTTACTGTTTTCTTGGTCCATCTCATAAAATCAAAGTGAAAATCGGGTTTGTGGAGTATGGATGCTTCGACGTTGAATTAAATTAAATCTTTTAAACTATTTTCACTGTTTTCTCAGGTGTAACTGTGCCAGGCGACCTCCACCGCTACACTCTGGAGAATATGTCGCCTGGTATTTACGACATATTCATTCGCGCCAGCACCGTCGCCGGTACTGGTCCAGCTGGGAACCCGGCTAACGTTCACATTGGTAAAGCCCAACATGCGCTCAATATCAGCAGACGGCGTAAAACCGATGGCTTTAACTCGGCTTTATGTGTGTGAAGGCTCCGAGGAAATATCGATAGTGATCTGCATCATCGTTCCACTGCTGCTGATGTCACTGGTGTCGATTCTGATACTCCTTCTGGCTCAGATGAGAGTGTAAGACATAATGTTGTGTTTTGGTTCTTGTAGTAAAGCAGAAGCCTTTCTTTATGACGTCTATGTTTTATTTTAATAATTCTCCCTCTGCTTTTTTAGGATAAAGAAGAAGCTCTTCCATAGAGTGCCAGATCCTTCTAACAGCACCGTGTCTCAGTGGAACCCTACAACCAGCTTCGAGGTAACGGGGCTCAGAAAATGTTCAGGTCGTTTTAAGTTAAGGAAATGATAGAACTTTATGAGACATATATTTTGTATTTTATTACTACCCTATTTGATTAATTTCAATCAAACTGTTCAGTTTGTTTAAATTCAGTTTAACATTTGTTTTAATTGAATTTATTAACGTCCGGTCCTGTCTGCTGTGATTCAGTTTAGTTCAATCCATTAAAACTTCATTTCCAGTCTATTTCAGGTGAGTTTAGTTCAGTAACTCGATTTAAAGGGACATATTGAGTGACATGGCGTATGTTATCTTCTTTATATACTTTCGCCCTACATTCGTTTTTATCTCTGTGGGTTTGGAGGCTCCACATCTGCAGCTAGATGCTTGTATCTGTCACGCAGCAGATGCTTAAAATAACTTGTTTATTTTAACCTCAGAATAAGAAGCTGATTATGGAGCAAGAGAAGCCAGAAGTCAGCTTCCCTGAAGTCATCGGGAGGCGAGATCCAGAGCGGGCCCACAGCTACTTACCCATCTGCAAAGCTCAGCTCTGTTTCGACCCGCAGCTCTCCTCTTTCCCGGCCAGAGCATCAGATAGAGGATATATCACAAACATGACCAAGACCCAGTCTGCCGACGATCTTTCCATCAGGCCCTGGAGCTACTCCACTGTCCTCTACAACCAATGCAACCAGAACCCGCCGTCCTCTCCTCAGGCCGGTCAGAAAGCCGATATCTGCCGTAATGACAGTAACCAGCCAGCAGATGGAGTCAGTGAGTCATCAGTCTTCCCGTTTACGGAGTCAGAAGAACAGAAAGCCTTTGCTGTTTTTCTGGAGCGCCTTAAAAGCCTTCAGTCTTCTTCACCGGACTTCAGCGGTACTCCTCCTTCCTGCGTCTCACTTCCTCACCAGACTGATTCACCGAGGTTAAACGCGACGCTGTCGGCTTACAGGAAACTTCCGTCTGACAGCTTTGCATCAACATTTCCCTCTCTTGCCTTTATGGATTTATCCTCATCCCCTGTGGAGTTTGGCCCTTACATCTCCTCTGATCGCTACATTAAGATTTAAGATTATGAACCAAGACGTTATTTTCTAGCACGAAGTGTCATAGATCTCTCCCAAAATGTAATTACACTGGGGTATCCCTTTTGAAACTGTTAATATCTCAGTTTTTAATTATTCGTTAATTTAAAAAAATTATTTATACCCTTGTATCAATGGAGACGTCTTCGATGCTTTTTGCTTACCTGCTCTGGTATTTTTGCTCATTTATGTTTCGCAATGAGCTCAACGTTTGTGAGGCTGGTTTGCACCATTAGTGAATCAGTCACATGAGAGCAACCTGATAAGTTTTGGTCAAATCGTGTTAGCAAATACTGACTGTAGTACCTGTGTAATAATAATGATTCTGTCAAATAAAGTTGTGGAAGTCAACTTCAGATAAAACAAAACAAAAATAGTTACTGTCTAAATGCGTCTGGACCTCACAGTGATTTAAAGATATATATATATATATGTGTGTGTGTGTATATATGTTCTCTTATTGATGGTTGTAATATGTCTTTGTTTTAAAAACTCGGTTGAAAGCTCATTAAGTTTACGTGAGCCAAAGTTTCGCTAAACATTCCACTCATTTCTCTAAATTTATGATCACAGAGCTGTGAAAATGTCGAGTCGCTGCTTTTTTCGGTGTTTGAGCCGTTTTGAAGTTTTTTAATGTGAATATTTGACTCTTTATGCCCAGTGGGGCGACAGTGACAGCTCATCCTCTAACCGGTCTGAGGAAGACGCTTCGCCCGCCTCGCCTCCGTCAGGCTGCTCCTCAGCACCGCCAGTGTGTGAATGTGTGTGTGAATGTAGCGTGCGGCGCGATGGGTTTGATAAAGCGCTGTGCAAGTACAGGACATTTACCGTTTTACTTTATGTTGGGAATGAAACGTATGTCTTAAACTGTAAATAGCAAACTGTTGTGCCTTTAACTTTCACTCGAATGTTTAAAACTTTTACTTCTATTTATGTATGCAGCTGAAAACCAATGCAGCTTTCCCTTTGTTGATTGGTGGGATTTTGTGTTAACAAGTTTGAATCTAAAATCTTGCATAATTTCGACATAACTGTATTCCAGCACGGCAAGAAGTTGTATTTACGTTTCTTGTTTTCTGATCAAACTTGTTCTGTTCCCTCTCACATTGCTGCATTTTGGAGAGTGACCTGGGACTGTGAAAAAACCGTTGTCTAGTTTGTAGATCTGCAAAAAGCAAACTGCTGAAGTAGGATTCAGCTTCAAAGAAATTAGGCATGTTTATAGCATGTTTTAAATTTGTAATTTTATTAAAACATCTGCCTTGTCCGTAAAGCTTTTCTGCCTTGAAAAATGTTGACACCGCTTTATTGATGCCTGTTTTTTACATAAAGTTTAAAACAGTAAACAGTAATTAAAATTAACTTAGGTGTGAAAAAAAAACTTTACAAAGAGGAACTTATTTTAGTTACTGTGATATAGGAAGAGTGAAAATGTGTGTTTCTTGTCCTTTACATTTTAAAGAAGTGGTTAAAAAGTGTGACCATGTACAGTTGAAACCAGATTACAACCTTTTCCTGTTTTTAGTTCAGTTAGAATTACCAACATTATTTCTATTTTACATATAAGTGATATATATGTATATTTTTTTAGATGTTCTTTTAACTTTTTTTGCGTTAAACAATAATTTCTTGTACAAACAGATGCTTTACAGATAAGAGGGGTGCGGGTTGGAGTCCCCCCATTGATTGTTTATTCACTGTTGCATGATTCTGTGTTTTTGTGTTTAGTGATGTAAAGCACTTTGAAATGCCATGACGCTGAAATGTGCCATACAAATAAAATTTGATTTGGTTTGATTTGAAGCTTAAACTAAAGCTTTAATCTCTTGACTGGTTTATTTAGGTGCTGCTTTAATATTTCCACGATGTTCTGTCCTTTATTTCATGAAGTGCACATTCTGCCACGATGTTCAAACTTTACAGCTGGAATATTGTTATCGGGATTTTGAAGCTCCCACCGTTTTTATCCATATATTGTATAACAAAATTCACTGAGGCTGATGAAGCTTTTCTTCCAAACGTGCAGAAAAAGAGTAAAAGTTTCAATCCTGCCACCTGCTGGCCAGCTAAAGCTATTGCACCCTCCCAATAGAAGCGCCGACACTTTAATTCATCTCAATAAGAAAAGTGCAGAAGAGACTGTGGTCGCTCAGATTCACTGATATTTTATTCATTTATGCTAATTACTAATTTAAATAATCTAGACTTTGTGTTTACTATTTTTTATCAGTACACGGAGAATGCAGTTTTGATTAGTTATTGTGTGGACGACAGTAAAGTTCCCTTGTTTTATCTTGGTTGCTGCACTAGAACATAAACTGACTTGTACACACATTTACTTAAACTCTTAAAAAAAAAAAACACTCCCGATTGAACAAGTGAAATCAGAACAAAAGCTTCGGTATCATTGCTCATCACTTCAAACACATTTTAGTTTCATCAGCTCTCGATCCAGCAGCTGGTTTTGGAGTAAAATCTTTTTCCATGGTGGTTCAGAACTAATTTACCAACATGATTCTTCTTTAGCTGAGGTCTATCTACACATTTTGAATCACAAACACATCTTTCTCTGGGACACAGAACCAGAGAATGGATTTTTCCACGATGCCACATGGAGGCAAAGTGTTTGAGGTTTTACCTTAAGATGCCTCCATAACAAGGTCTTCGTTTAACTCAGATGCTGTTAATCCCTCTGACAGAAAGTCCAGAACGTCTTTGTTCAAAGGCACAGTGATGTTAGCGTATGTAAACTTCGACATTTAAAGAAAGCAATGTAAATCACCTTGAACTTTCTCTCATTATTCTGAATCAAACAAATGGAAATATTTTGTGTCTGACTAACCGTTTAGCCGGATTAAATTGCTATCCTGAATCCACACCATGCGATTCTTGTGAGGTCAGGGTTGCGACACATTGGAAAGTATTTACATTGTTGCTGATTGTGTTTAGTTTCCACCAGGCAGTCAGAGTTGCATTGATGGGATTGTGGTTTTATCTGCTTGATTGGATTTGAGAGACGTTCACTGAAAGTAATTGTGTCAGGTTTTTTCTAAATCCTAGAATTCAGAGCCACTTTACGCTCCTGTCAGGTGACTCAACTTCGGACTCTCCTAATCATTTCGGGACAACGTGTGCACTTTAACGCCATTTTCATCCAGGATGGTTTGGTTGGGTTTCTTTTCTTTTTCTTCCTTTTCTTCTACACAGTAGGAAACTACAATCGCAACAAGCCTGCACAACTGAAAGGCCTTTGGTTTGTTTGGCTTCTCCACCCTCCAAACTTGCCTAAGAAGCTCCTATGGGAGCAGCCTTTGTTCGTGTGTTAGTTCAGCATTTACTCAATCACACAACGAAGCCCCAACATGCTTCACTCAAGCTCCAGACTCAGACTTTTTTTTTATATTTAATCATGAAAAAACCTGAAATTAATTTAAATTCCACTCCAACACCAGAAACCATGAAGCCGACGGCGGGTTTTTCTGACCCAAAACGTTGCTGCTTCATGAAACGCTGTGAAAAAAAAAAAAAAAACACATATTTACACTGAGATAACTTTGCAGATTTGCCCTAATCAGCCACCAGGTGTTAGATTTCTCATCAAACTTACAACTGGAAGCAAACAAAGGTTTGCCTCTGCTGCCCTCAAGCGAGTCAAAGTAGGAAGAAATACACAGGAAAAGTTTCTGTCTCCATTTTTTTTATCAACTCTCCTCCTGGCAGGATAGAGATTCTTTCTCACTAACCCGTCTGCGTGGAGACTCACGTTTTACCCCTTCATCTTTGTAAAATCTCTTCAGCTTAAGTCAGATGGGACAAGGAGAGTCTGCAACCATCAGCTCTGTAAGATACCCAAAGGTTGGAATAGTGTTTTATAACCTGATGCTGCTTTAAACTTCTCCATTTCTTTCTCCCTGACCTCTGTTCCTTAGTTTTCATAATCCTGATTGGTCAATAATGTTCTGTAAAGTTTAATTGGCAGGTTAGAAAGAAAAGATTATTTCACATCCTCAGATTTTCCTCAAGCCTCCCAGCTCAGTGCCAGTTTACGGGTGATATGCTTGATGTACTCAGGGAGTATCGTGTGTTTGGGTCAAGCATTCAAACTATGTAACACACTTTTCTCCATCACTAGCAAAAGGAAAAGCTCTGGAATAGACTCCCATCGCATCTGGCTAACAGAATAACTTGTAGACAGCAACCAGCTGTCTACGAATTAAGCAACTAAAGTTGGCGTTGCGGTATTGTGAAAGCTTCTGTTTTTCAAAATACGGGCTGATGCTTTTTTCGATCAAGGTATTTATATACAGGGTGGGCCATAAGTTTCCATATAAATGTAAAATGTATGTTTCTGTTATATTTCAGATATCCAAGAAGATGCAAAGAGCAAAGATCTGAAATGGCATGGCTGCACGAAACTTTAACAGGAAACATGGAACGAGCATCACACACACCACACTGTGGCAAAACTTATTTGCAAGTTTCAGAAAACTGGAAATGTTGCAAATCAACCACAAAGTGGTCCAAGACGTGCAGCGATTACACAGAATCCCACAAAAATAAAAACAGTTGTCCAATATAAAATGTTTATTTTTTCTATGTATGGAAACTTATGGCCCACCCTGTACTTGTGGCACGTTGTGCCCATGTTTTAGCCTGATACGTTCGCCTCAACTAGCTTTCACATCGAGTCAAAAACAGATCCGCAAAAGAAAATCAGTAAAGATTTTAATATGGCATCAAAGCATATTGATGAGTTTATGGGGAAGTGGTTTTCAAGTACATTGAAGCTTTGGTTTTGTATGTTGCTGAGTTTTATTGAATTGTTTCCACTTTCAAAAGCAAACTGAAACCCTTTCTCTTCTCCCCGCCTGCGGCTGGTTCTGGTGTAAAACGGACGGATGTTTACTGGAACACGACGTTACTGGAAACGTGACCTGCTGTAAATTACCAGCCAAAACATTTGTGCAGGTCAAATTCCATGCATGGCTGATGATTAAATAGGAAAACTTATTGCATTAAAATGATTAAAAAAAATAAGACCCAAGTAGGAAAAATAGTCTTCAGAGAAAGTCTATGTGGAGTACTCTGAACTTTATTGGATCTTTAACTGGAGCAGATTTGAGTTATTTATTAAAAATAGATTCAGATATTTAGATGAGTTCGGCATGAAACAAATATTATTTAAAAATCACCTCAAACTCTTTAAATGTCATGAAGAATCGTGATATTTACACTCTGTGGCAGCTTGAGCTCTTTGAAATGCTTGGAGATTTTGAATATAAATCCAGTGAGCTCCACCAGAACCAGTTCTGATGTTGGTAAAACTGAGTTCTGCTCATAAGAAAGGGGGCGCTACACAGCAAAACATCTGATTGGTATCTGATTCTGAGGTTAATTCAAAGGGTATTTGAGTTTTTGAAGGACTCTGGACAGGATTTGACTACTCCTAGACGCTCAGAGCACAATGTCGTTATTATTCTGCAGTAAACAAAGGTTCTTATTTACAGAATCAGATTTTTTTTATGGACAGAAAATCTTATTCTATTTGTGAAAAGCATTACTTTCTCTCCATTTAACCTGAAGCTGTGAAAATGAATTAGACCTAGGAGGGTGTGTGGGTAGTAGCTACTAGCTACATTTACTTGTGTAACATTTACAGAAAAAAAACTTTTAGGAGTATTTTTACAAAGCTGTACTTTTTACTTTTACTTGTGAAATCTTATGATAAAGTATTGCTATTTTTACTGGAGTACAATTTCTGGATACTGTGAGTAACTTCACTGAATGAAGAATAAACTCATTTTAATAAAAAAATTCACCGGACAAAGACACACACCGGTAGTTTTATATAGAAAGAAACAAATTTGGAAAATGTTTATGTTGCTTGATTTTGTTATTTATATAAAACCAACATTTCCACATAGCTTTATTCTTTAGTCTATCTGATTATTTAGATATGAAATAATCAATGTATTGAACCCTTTAACAGCGTTTTTCCAGGTGTTTCAACTGAGGATATATCCTGCATAATGAGCTCAGCAGGTGCGCAGATCCATGCTAACTGCTGCTAGCTAGTCTGAACGGTTGCCATGGAGATTAAGGGATTTCCCAAACATGCGTGAAAGAATTAAAGCAAAACTCCAGGTATGTTTTTGATGAGGGAACAACGTTAACGCCCAAATAGTCGATTATACATGACGCCCCTTTAAGAATGTTGTAGCAAGGAGGAAAAAATGGACAAGAATAAGCTAAAAGTTTTCACCTTTAGCCACAAAAAGAGTTTTGATGAACTCTTTGAATGTTCCC